GTTCTGTTTTCCGAGGCGGATATCTTGCGGCGTTTACTGCTCGAGCGCTTCCTCGAACTGTGAAACAGAGAGCTCAACCCAATTCTCCTGGACTTTGACTTACGTTCGGTAGGCACATCAGTGGATCCCTCTGTAAAGGAAAGCAGGTGTTTAGGAAGTTGACTGTGATAAGGCACACGAGAAATAACAAGAACTAATGAACTGCAACTGCTCAGCACTAGGTCAGACCAGGAGTCCTTTTCACCGCTCGTAATTAATGGAATCTACATTACAGACTTCGTGACCGGATCCCTAGCATCGAACCATGCCCGACAGGAGTCTTACCGAGCGTTCTGTGTTATAATAGCTGTAGGAGCACCTCGCAGACTACAGCAGCCGACCTAAATCCTGAAACGTCATAACAGACTTCTGTGCTCTTATTGCGGTAAATGTTCTTGTCGCATACAGAATATGTTATTAGCTAATTTTAGCAGAAAACATGCTCGTAAATTTGGGCAGAAATTTACCTTGACCTACATTCGGTCAACTTAATGTTAATAGCCGTCCTAGAAGGTTTTTGTAAACCTGCGTTCGTTCTCGTGGTAAGAATCTACAAAAGGTAACACTACGCCCATTTTTACTTTGCATAATGGTCGTTTAGGGAGTTTAATTTTTATATTTCTTACTTCCTATTAGATGTACTTCCCACTGGCTACTGACCTGCCCTGATGTACTCAGGGGTGGTTTATTCTGTTACCTCTGATTGCTCGCAAATGCCTTTTTGTTCATTTTTTTTTCAATTATCGCGCGATTTTTCGTGGCTTTTTAAAACAAGGTTATCGACCATTCCCTATTTTTGTTTGCTATACTTCTTTTATTTTCTCTACAGCGCCTCGTAATGCCCCAGTGCTAGTACTACCGATTCCGCGCTACAGAAGTCTGGGAGTTTTAGTGGCCGCGATGCTACCTATCACCGTTTTCTTTGAAGCGGACAGCAATTTAACTTCGAGCGTTTTACTAAACGCGACTTGCCGCCGCAAACAAACTGCTTCTTTTTGTTTCCCGTAAAGCGTGAGAACGCGGCTGTGAGCAGAGTGGTTATTTTTAGAAAATGAAGTGTTTGTTAGATTTCTGAATGATAGATTGGTGGATCTGTGTGAGTTCATGCCCTAAGAGGCAGTGATAAGGGCTTCGGGCAATCGCTTGTTTAAACGTGCGCGACGTCGTCGTGGCGTTTGTGAATACATTATGAAAAACGGCTAATAACGACATTATTGGATAGTCACTTTAAATTTTGAAGAAAGGGAAAAAATACTAATGTATTACTGGTAAACGTTAGGACCGCGAGATACGCGTATTTCTGGCTAATTTCCCTTCGTCAGTCGCGGACACCTGACTCCAGTATAGCCTGATTCTTCAGAAGAAGAGGATGCGATCACTGGAACGAGTTTTATTTTCCTAACC